GGCAACAGCAAACTTTAGTATAAGCGATGTTCTCAATTATACAATTAACAACCTTTGAAACTAACTTGTGTAAAGTTAAATTTAGTTTATATGTTTGTGAGTTAATTTAATAAGCAAATATCTTATTATACACAAATTAATCTAACTATATTAACAATGGTATGCTCGTCAAACCAGAAGTCACATTTTTCATTTTAAGCTCTGATACAAAATGGAAATATGCGAATACCAGAGATGTTTTAACGCTACTTCAAAAAAAGCGAGATATTTATACAAATGTTGCCCACAGAACCTACACGTTGGAAACGTTAGACAGATTTATAGATATTCGCCAGGGATTAATTAAATTTATTAAACATATCTTCAATGGTGAAAAACCATTTGTTTACATTTATAAATTTCACATACATACACACATTTCGTTTCTTAAAGATGGGGTAGTTAGTTCGATTGAATTTCAAGTTGAAGGTATTTATATTGTCTACACATTTTTACTTTTGTTGATTATAATAAAGACTGCAAGTCTAAACTAATCTATAAACTAGATTTTGGTACGATAAGTCTAATCGTAAAACAATCCGAGGTTTCCATTTTTATTGAACAAGCATCCCGTTTATTCTAAATTTATCTACCTAAATATTATTATTGTTGTTAGTTAAACGAAGAAAGTATTATTTTTAAGTAGGTACCAAAATACAACAATTTTTGACGTTTTAATAATTTTTGGTTAAATCCATTTTTTATTGAAACTGATATAGCTAAAACTCTAAATATATATGTTTTGTAGAAAATATTACAAGCTCATCAAACAGTTTTAATGTGCTGACTCATTTTTTGCACATTTTTAGAACCACAATAAGAACTTTACTCTCATATTTTATATACTTCCAAACAATGGAGTTCTCACAAAGAAAACTGTAAAAGTTAGTCGAATGTATTCAACTCCGAAATTATTCTTAGAAACAACACTGTGCATAAGCTAAGTCATTTCTCTGTATCTTTGTTGTTGCATTTTTTTATAATCGAGTCGTGTGAGATTGTTTCATAAGACTTTTTACAGAATTTACAGGCTGGTATACCGAAATATAAAATTCTCTTAAAATTGTCTGCCTGGAAAATTAAAAATTGAAACTTTCTTTGACAAGCTTTGTTTACTGATTTGTGCATTTTTTCTGGTTTTCCTCTTTTTACGTCAAGTTCTGCTATAATGCGCCAACGAATATAGTGGTTTTACAACTTTGACTTTTTCACCACACTTGTCAACGAATAATGCAGCTTTAGTAGATGCAAATTTATGACACAATCCTAAACTGCAAATGCATTTCTCTTATTTACCTGTCTTTAGGACGGTCAAGAGCTTATCTATTTAGGAGTAGTTCAGGTTAAGATACTTTTTCTTCACAAACAAGGGACTTTGAAAAGTCAAAATCATAAAACAATTAAATTCCTGAGGACACTATTGCAGTGTCGCCAAAAATGACGACACTGCCATCTTATCACTTTTGTCATTCATTTTTTTATGATAACAGTTCTACCAATTTCAACCAAATTTGTCGATACCACTCTTCCGATCTTCCGTAAATTTTCCTATGCACATTAAGCTTAGTTTTAGTGAAGTTAGAATTGGCAACTTTATGTATTATTTACACAACCAAAACGTTATAAATCCGATCATAATTTAACGCTTATTCAACCTTTATGATAGTTTAAACAAAAAATGAAATGGCATGGAAACATTAGTACTTGTATAATACGTTTTCCAATGAATGCGTCTTTGACGTACTTAAGATTAAAAATTTTCGTGAATACTGGAAGTATTAATAGACTGACTATATTCTCCTACTTTGAAGGAAATTCCTCTGATATGTTTCGGTGTATATTTAAAATTTTATAGTTGGCGTTGTCTTGCGTAGAACGATGACAGTCGTGAGGTGTCAATCTATATTAAACTTGTGGACTTTCTCTGCTCACAAAACATTCCATAAATTCTTTGATTTTTTTGTCAGAAAAATATACATCACTTCTGTCTAACGAAATACAAAACATTTTTAGTTGTCTACATGTATGACCATCCCTCGTTAATTAATTTCGTTGTAATCCTAAAGCGCAGAGCTGTAATTATCTACACCCACGTATCTCATTTCACTTCGGTTATTATTTAGCAGAGATATTTAATCACATGGTGCATTGTATCTGAAGGCTGACTCACACACAAACACAAATGCTAGTTTTTCTCCATCGCTGAACTCCGAATATATAATATTTTCGATTGGATGCCAAATGTACTTGTTTCCAAAAACAACAAACGGTCACGTAATATAGATAGGTATACAACAGTGACTACTAATATGTTACATCTGTATTTCATAAAAACGCAAACCGAATTTTAAATATTATGTTATTTGTATGTATTAGTAGTATATTCGCGCTAACTCCTCTCTCAAGTATGTTAGTAATATATTATAGTCCGTTTACCGAACAGATGGAGTGATCATGATAACTAATAACATCAAAATTAAACATATTAAAAAAATCCATGTTTATAAAATACAATATGATCCAAAACGGTTATCACAAAATTATACTCTAGAAAGGATTATTGTTTTGAATACATAATTGCTTTTTGTTACAACTGAAATTAGATTTGAATATATTTTCCTTTCTTAAAGCAACAAACGAAAGTAAATTTTGCTGCCAGATTATTTTAAAATTCCACTCTTTGGCAGATGGTTTATTTACAGCTTAATACTGTAGATCGGTAATTATAATTTTTAGTAGTACTTAAGTTAATTAACTGCTGTCTTTACGTAGTGAAATGGTGCTTATTTTGATCATTGCAAAAGTCAACTACTTGTGGAGTTATCACTTAAACGTCATTTACACTTTTTTTTCTAATGCAAATTTCCAAAACAAAATTTTCTTGACTTAGTTCGCATTTGTCCGATAATAGATATTTAAAATTTGAAAACTTCTATAAAATGGTTTTTATTTCCCGCGAAATAATAATTTATTTTCTTCTAGATCTAGATATGCACATAGTAAAACAGCCAAGTTTGAAAAGTTGCATAACGCATGTGCACACACATTCACGACAAAATTTTTGTAAATTCCAAAAATGTCACTGTGTAAAATGGGCTTAAACAGCAGCCAATTAAAAAATCGTATTGACATTTTTTTGCAGAGTGCGCGCGCAACCGCAGACCCTAAATAATTTTCATACACAAATTAGGTTGGCAGTACCACAGCATATCATTCAGTAAAGACAGCTCGTCAAATATTGGAACAACGTGTCCTTATCCAACCGTTTTGATTAGGCGGGATTTTTGAAACGAAGTGGAATATTGGTTGCCTAAATTACAAATACAGCTCGTCCGTAAAACAATGTAAAAGGAACTGATATAAACATCGAATGAACTGAAACCAATTTTTGGAGTGTGGCATGAAGACTACGAAAAAAATACCACTTTGAACAATAAAAAAGAATTGTGCTTATATTTATTTTATTCATTAATAAAAGTCTATCACTTTACCAAGTTAATTTCAACATAAACATATCAACTACCTATTTTGCCAATGCCTTCAATTTTCGCCAAGTGTGAACCGTTTGAAGAGTCAGAAAGTGAACGCTGTTGTTTTCATCTTCCCTGGGAAAAGTACTTTGATGTTTTTGGTTGAATTTTTGTTGTTAGTTAAATTAGTGAAGTAATTCTGAGAACTTTTTCATAGTAACATGGACTATAGTGGTAGACCACCTCGTGATTCCAGGCACAATAAAAAAACCTGCTTCAGAGGCTTCTTTAAATTTCCCTCGGAATCTGTAAGATAAGAAATATAAAGAAGTATATTATTCTATAATCAATACAAAAATTATTTGGTATGCAATTTTTACAGCACAGTGAAAATTCCAATAGTTGTAATGATTTAGGATCTATTTTACTAGCAACTGAATCTAAAGAAAGTAACCAGTGTCAAATTATTAATAGAGTTTTAAGTTGAACAACTTTTGCACATAAATCTGTGGAAGTAAATATGACAGACTACAGACATCTGGACATGGAGGAACAAAATTCTTTAAGTTATGTCTGTGGATACTTACTGAAGAAATGCTTGATGAAATATACCTGTGAAACATGTAGTTATTTTGCCGTTGCACGTAATGTCATCATATATGATAAACTTCTCTGTCACTTCAACGTCTTTGATGATGATCCACCATTTTGGCAATCCTAAAGCTGGCCATTCACACTCCAACGTCCCATTGGATGCAACTGTTGTACAATTCTGTTAAAAAGCAGCAGTACACACACACGTTACGACCTTGCAGTTAAAAATTTGCGATCGTGATGACAACATGTCCGACAAAATGACGAAAATGTACTTTTATAGCTGCTCTCACGATTTGAATAACATACACTGTCGAGTCATGTCCACACATCATCAAATTTCCATCCAATACAACACGATTGTACTGCTGCAGACAGACTTGTTCACCGACCGTCCACATCCAACCGATTTGCATACACAGACGTTCAAAAACACTTCAATTTGGTCATATCAAACACAATTGTTCTGCGGCGTTGAAACGTGAGTGCCGCGCTTAAGATGCTACATGAAACATTCACCTTTTATGTTGCAGCCCTAGAAAAACGATTTGTTTCACTATTTTCTACCAACTCAATTTTACCTTCATGTGGCCGATATATAAAAGCTGCCCTCGTAACTGTGTCCATACCAGCATACCGCACCCCTGTGCCCTGTGTACAGTTTCCACAATATTATTTATTTTATTTATGTGTTCGAACGCGCATTTTCTATTCAGTAAAAATAATAAATCACCGTTACAATATTAAATACCAAACATCTAAAATGTCAAATTTGACGCACAATGTTGACATGGTGGTAAATTTTATTTAGTAACAAGGTTTGCCACTACAGTTTCTAGCCAAAATTCAAGGTCATGTCCTTATTCAACGGTCGATTATTGTTGTTCTAGTCCGTTACGTGTATTTCTTATGGACCTTTCAAAAGCTGTCCTTACTGAATGATATGCTGTGGCAGTACTGTCTCCGCGATGACAGTTGTTAAATTTGACGCCGTTTAAATTTAAACGGTTTTAAACGCCAGGTTATGTTTATGTTTTATTGCAATTAATTTTGCTTGTGTTTTAATACAAAAATGGATATCGAAGAAGTGTTACGTGAAATTAAGACTGTTAGTGATGTTGTGTGCAATGAACACTTGGATCCATTTTGTGAAACGTTCGACGAAATCACCACGACTGGTACCGCTGTGGATAACGATGAGGGTAACCAAAGTAATAGTTAAATTTGTACGCGTAATAAATAAATAATCAAATTTCAATATTTCAGGAGGACATTTAAAAATCTTGTCTGATAACATAAAACCTTTGTTGCGAACACAGACAGACAAAGGACATGAAATCCTGCAAAAGCATTCATCAAAAATTGAACAAAAACGAGTGGAAGTGGTAAGTGGTATGCTTAAGTTATTTTTCACAGTTTTACAAGTTTTGTTTAGATGCAGTTACTAGAAGTTCGTGATAAACTGAAAACAGAAAATGAAAACCAAGAAAAACATCTTCAAAAAATAAAGAAACAGTGTCGTGATTATGAGGAGAAACTAAATAATTTACAGTGTTTGAAGTATGTTGTACAAATTTTTGTCAATTTTATTCTTATGTGTTTGTATTTTAGAGATTGCATTCAAACTTATAAAATACTCACTAAGACCCATTTTTCTTTCAAGAAAGGGAGTACTGTAGGATGTATCCTTTACATTAATAATAGTAAAATATTTCAAAAACTCAGTTATAACTTTCCTTATAAAAGGATAGATGTCAAAGGCTCAAATTCTTCATCATTTGCAGTTTTTGATTTCAACAATTCACATGTAAATCAACAAGACATAACGAAAAAATTATGGACTTTATTAAAAAACGTTTCCAAAGAAGATTATGAGAATCGAATAATACAGGAAAATAACAATAATAAAAAAATAATATTAAGTTAGTACACTAAGTTGCAATATCACAATTTATATTAACATATGTACATAAGCCTTTTTAACGTTTAGATATATTGTAGATGTCATTTGAACAGGAACGTATTTTAAAATTCATTCTTTTTTCTTTATTGAAACTGACCTCCTAAATATTCTATATGAATGGAACACACTTACACTTGTGGCAACTGCGAAACTTATAATAAACAACGCCACAATTACCATGGCTAGCAACAGTCCTTGGATAAATACATTGTATGTCACATAGAAAATCCCATGTGACGCTAAAACTCCTGTATATGTAAGTAATAATGCCATAGGCATTAAAGTTGCTGCTGTGACTAATGGTAACAGTGTGACTGTTCCAACAATGACGCATGTCATGGACAACACAGGTCTCTGAACTGACCACTTCAGGAAGAGTCTTCGAACTCCTTGAGCAAAAGTTCTCACTTTATCTAAGAAAAAAGCCGGTTAGTTTCTATTGAGGAAATCTCCTATAATAAATATTTACCTGGTAAAATTTGCACTTCTATTGACATATTAACTACGTTTATATGGCCGGGCTGACAAGCTGAGTAAATTTAAAGGTGCTCTAAATGTTCAAATACTACAAACTGTTGGAATTTGACATTTGCTTTATCAGATATATGACACTACTTTGTTATGGGGCATGGAATTTGTACTGACCGTGATTGTTAAGTCGCGTCAAGGGGACTCAAAAATTTATTAATACAGACTTTTCTGGAAGCTACATTTTTTTACACACCAGAGCTTCTGTCCAAAAAGCGGTAATCAATCACTTTGATTTTTACTTGATTGTTCATAATTAATAAATTAATCGATACTGATGTTTTTAAACTTTATAATTTTGTCTCTTTTGACATACATAGGTTAGTTTTGAGGTTAAAAGTGTGATGTCAATGTCACCACAGACTACACAGACAAGCCACTGCCCCACCATTGACAAACGAATATAGTCTTTAATTCAAGAGTCCAAACAGTCGATTTCAATTATTTTGCCCTTGAACACAGGAAAATGACGGTTTAGGTAAGGATGACCTTGATTCCGCTTAAAAATTTGCAAAATACTGTAGTGGCTATCCTGTTTAGTGGAAACTTTTAGGAGAATGTAACTAGAAAAACTAGAATTTTGACACTTCGGGTCAGAGATATTGAATATAAGTACATATATACATTTAAACCTCCTTGCTTTGGGTTGACAACATAACCACATATAACCTCAAAATGGGTCCGACCAAGACGTGTGAAGTGCAACGCACTCCTGTGAGTCCTGCGGCGACAGAATACACAATACAATACAATAATAATCATTCACTCACTTTTAAAAAATGTATAAATTTAATTAATAGCACTCATAAATTTTTTAGCTTGTTCATGTTTTTTTTTTGACTATGAACGTACGTACGAACGCCTTTATTGTTTTAGTAAGTTAAACATAATATGACTTCTGCTGATGTATTTTTTTAACATTATGTTGGCTTTTATCCGAGATTGTGTTGTAAAGTGGCAGTCCTCGCGTTTAAAAATCGCGCGTATGAAGTGACGGTTGAGGTAAGTCGTCAATAAGGGTCACGTTCGCTCAAAGTGGGTATGTGGCTTGTCTGTGTAGTCTGTGATGTCACTATGTCGCTTGTCAAATTTTTTAATGGGTAATTCAAATTTATTTAAACTAAATTAGCCACGGTTCAAACTTAATATTTTAACTTCTGGTTTCACTAAGATCTCGAAAAGTTCAAGTTTCACTGAATTTTTGTTTCATTCATTAAATAAGTGTAAAAAGATAAAAATAAATATTGCTAAAATGTAGCATTTGGGCAGGGGTGGCTTTATACACGTTCCAAGCCCTCTTCATAGATATCAATTTTTAAAGATTTTATGGGGCTTCCAAAAAATTTTTCACTGTACATATATGATCATAATACCTGAACGAAGTAGAACGAAGTACTTCCAAATGTACTAAGTTCTATTTCCAAAATCAATCAAAATTTCAAAAGCTGAATAAACATAACACTAAAGAAAAATTAGAACCCACCGTGTACTCTACAACGCTCGTCACAGTGTAATTATGGTTGACTTTAATTAATGTGTCAATTACCATTTTAATTAACACGTTAAATTTAGTCAAGTGCGAAAAAATGAAAACAAGTTTTTTTTTCAAAATAAACTAGCTATATTGGTTGTATATTGTATACAGAAACCCCTGGGTCAATACAAATAATGTTCTGTGATTTCCACTTGTTAAGAAAGATAAGTACCTAGTTATTCTCATTAATATTTTGGTACAACAAACTTATAAAGTACAATTCCTGTCTATTCAACATAAAAATTGAAATACTCCTTTCTGTAACAAAATAAAGTAAAATTAAATAACTCAAAAATAATTTACTAATATTTTTAAAAAATAAATCACTTTAGACTAGATATCATAAATCTAAATTCTTAAAATAACTTAAACACAAACAAATCGATCAATCAATCAATCAAATCAACTGACTAGCTATTATTAAATTTCGTTGTTATTCTTTTTTCAGTATTTTGTAACAAACTGTAATCTAGTGTAACAACTCCTAGTGGCTAAATTGTTCGTTCTGACCACTAGAATTGTTCATAACAATTACAACCATGTTAACCAACAATTTTGTTAGTTGATTATCACAGTGTTAACGCTTGTCCTGGGTTAATTATCTGGCTCTTATCACTTATGTCTAAAAATATAAATAGTCAATTATCAGATCAAACAGAATTAAAAAAGTATTGGTTCTCTCGTTACAGATAGGTAGGTACTTATAGGTATAATATATTTTTGTTCCCTGTGAAAATAATGTTTCCGTTAAAATAGAAACAAAAAAATCAGTTTTAAAAATAATGTACACGATTTTTGGAATTACTCACACCACCAATGGGATGACGTCAACTCCAAAATTTATAATAAAAAATTTTTTTTAATTCTACAAAATAAGATAGCCCTTGTGGTGTATGAATCTGTGTCGAATTTTCAGCCTAGACATCCAGAATGTTTGGAAAAAATTCAAAACTGAATAACAATATTTTGCAATATAATTTTGAAACTGCAAAACCGATTGTTCTGAAATCTTGTAAATATTTTAAGGTTATCGTAATCATGGTAAATCGTTAAGCAAAATTTATTCGTTTAGCCCCTTCCAAAAATTGATGATGTCATCTCAAAATTGTGCCTAATAAATGATATCGAAAATGTGCAATATATGATGAGTCAAAGGTTTTAAAGCTTGATGATACAAACCCGAACGATCTAAAAATATTTAAAATTCTAGAGATACTGAAGTCTCTAAAAATAATCTGAAAGCTCTAAAGATTATAGAAATTCTAGTGATTCTAGATTCTAAAGATTCCAAAGTTTCCAGTGGTTTGAAAGATTCAAAAAGTATAAAAGCTTTCACGGATTACATACTCTAGAAATTGCGAACTGTAAACACACTTAAGATTCTAAATAAACTAACGTTCTAATGTTCTAAATATAAAAAAGATCCAGCACAATCTTAAAAATTTTAAAGAACCTAGGGGTACTAATGATCTTTAGAAACTGCAGAAATTTTAGGCTTTATAAAACTCCTAGTAATTCTCAAAGTGTTCAAAATTTCCACATATTGGAAAGGCTCTAGGGAATCTAAGGGGTCAAAAGCTAAAATTCTATTTCGAATACTTGAAATATTCTGAAGGTTCTAGAAAAATTCCAGAAAACCAAAGATTCTAAAACTTGTAAAAATCGCGTGAACTCTTAAAATTCCAAAGACTTTAAAGAAAAGAAGAATCTTAAAGACCTAAAAATCGTAAAGATCGGAAAAATGTTTTCTTTAATTTTTATAAATCCTAACAACACTGAAGGCCTTCAACACCCTAATTATTATCTTATAAATCTTGGAGACTGTAAAGATTCCAGAGATTCCAAAATTTCCAAAGATGTAGGTTCTTGAGATGTATAAATTTTAGAAAGTGTGGGATAAATGTGGAAAACTTAGAAATCTTGAAAATATTGGAAAAGGTTGCATTTCAAAATTCTGCTGTAACTGGAACCTGATAATTTTAGAAATTTTGGAAAATGTGGAAATTCTGGTCACTTTGTGTACTTCGGAAAATCTGAAAAATTGGGCTACTCTGCAAAATCTAAACATTCCGAAATTCTGAAAATTTTGAAAAAAAAATTACAAAATTCCCAAAAATTAAAAGAAAAAAAATTATATCGCAAAATTTCAAAAGTTTACGCAATTTTAAGATTGTAGATATTCTAAAAATTCCAAAGTTACCACATGTTTGAAATAATATTTAAAAGATTTTAAACCTTTCAAACATTCTAAAGACTTGACACGTTCTAAAAATCTTAAAATTTTCATACACCAGAATTTGCGAATTGTAAAGACACTAAAGATGCTAAATATACTAAAGTTTTTGGTTCTAAATAGAAGAAATATCCAACAAAATCTAAAAAGTATTAATAAATGTTCCTAGAAATTATAAAAATTCTAAACTATATAAAATTTCTAGTAGTAGTCAAATTTCCAAAGATTGTTAACACTCCAAGGACTCTGAAAACTCTAAAGGTTCTAAATACTCTAAGGACCCAAACGCTAAAAAAGGTTTTTAAAATTCTATTCCAAATATTTCAAAGATTCTATAATTTGTAAGATTCCAAAGACTCTAAACAAAACAAAAATCCTAAAAATCCTAAAAATCTGAAGAATTATTATCTTATACATCTCAGAGGTTGTAAAGATTCCACAGATTCCAAAAATTTCAAAGATTTAAAGACTAATGAGCGTCTATTAATTTTAGAAAATCTGGAAATATCTTGAAAAATTTGGAAGACCTAAAAATCTTTCAAAAATTTCAAAAATTTACTCAGTTCTAGAAATTCTAAAGATTTTACTGAATTTGTAAAAATATTCCGAATAGTGTGAAAGTTCAAAATCTTTTCTAAATTTCAAAGATTTCGAGGATTCCAATGGTGCCAAAACTCTAAGAAGTCTATTAATACTAAATTGATATATCTGCTGTTTTTAAAATACTAATGATGTTAACGAGTATCAAAAAAAATATATATGGAAAAACTGACTAAAGATGAAAAAAAAAAGAACTCTCACAGTTAAAGTTAAATTTTTCGAAGTTGTATTTGTTCCATTGGACGTTAGGGAAGTTCTGTCGAAATAACTTTCAACCAATTTTTTTACTTGAAATAATATTTTTGACTTGTAGTTATTTTAAAAAAATTCATTAACGAAAATGTTTTGTTTGTTTATTTATGTCTTTCAAGAGTTGTTAAAGATTTTTAAAATTTCTTAAATAAATCGTTGTTCAAAAATTGTTTTATTATAGAGAAACAATTTACACAGAGTTACATTGTGATTGTTGACATAATTTTTTTAACATGAAAACAAAAAACTGGCAAAAAAATGACCACCCTGAAAAATTTCGCAAAACCGCTTTAAAAAGTATTAATTTAACTACTGATCGTTATTTTATTAAAGAACCATTCACTATTGACACATGATGTATTGATGTATAAATTAGCAAAAAAAAGAAGACAAGTAAACGCAAAATTTTAATAAAATAACGATCACTACTTAAATTAATAATTTTTAAAGTTTGGTTTTGCGAAATTTTTCAGGGTGGCCGGTTTTTTTTGCCGGTCGGTGTATTTTGAAAATTGAATAAATTTTAAATCAGACAAAATTCTTGTCTACAAGAAATTTTCGAACCAGGAAATACGTGTTCATGAACTAGTTTAATGTTTGAAATACATAATTTAATTTTTATCAACTATCAACAGCCAGTAAAGTAGATAAATATAAACTTTGTCACACACATGTTTACACACAAACAAGAACTTTGTAAATTATTTCGGTAAATATGTAAAGGAAATCGGTTTTTGAAAATTAATTACAGAATGCAGAAACGATCTGCGTCAAACTAAAACTTATAACACGTGGTTTATTCCGTAAAAACTTTATTCAACAAAACATAGTATATACACTGCATAGACATAGACTGGTTACACGAGTCCTTAAAAATGGTCACTCCGCGGACGAACAGTCCTGATAACTCGTACACTCGCGAACACCCGGAGCGTTTTTCCACGGCCGGACCTGCGGGACCCCTCGGATACGCCGCTGATACTCAAGCCGACTTACTACTCGATTTGGACCTCCAAGACCCCTCGGATGCAAGGTGATACGCAAATGAGCTGTGAAGTTCGCAGATGGAAAAACTTGCCGAATCTGGCCGCTCGGGTCCTATGTAAAGGCGGC